CAAATATATATATATATATATATATATATATATATATAGAAAAACACTACGCAACGCCTATAGGAAAAAATAGACAACGATTTCGCTTACTTTCATCATCGTCTAAAGTTTATCGTGCGGTCACGATTTTCTGGTAGTGTTTCATTTTTCATTTTTTTTTTCTACATATCAAAATGAACTGAAATTTATAATATATATTCATAAAATATAGATGAATCTTTGAAAAATATATAAAAAAAAATTTACATGAAAAAAATTGACCAAAATACTTTCGGGGGTATTTTGGTTAATTTTGTTTTTACGGATAATTTTTTTTATATTTTTATTAAATGTGCTTCAATAAGATGTACATACCCTCCAAATTTTAGGTCATTCTGATTTGTAAAAAAAAAAAATGAAAAATATAACACTACCGGACAATTGTGACCGTAAGATGAAATTCAGATGGTGATGAAGGTAAGCGAAATCACTATTTATTTTCACATATAGGTGTTGGGAAGGGAAGACTTTTCCATATATATATATATATATATATATAATGGTTTGATGTTTGAAATAGAAGTAGGACCTCACGGTAAAATTATCAAACTTATAGACCAAAGGATAAATTCAGTAATTTTACCCAATCCATATGTAAAAATCCCTTCAAAATAAAACAAATGCGAAGTATAGTATTTATAAGGAAAATGGTTTAATAGGGTTGCAGCCCTATCAAAATAGGTAAAGCCTTCCTTCCTAACTCATTGAAAATTGCAATTCAAGAGTTGGAAAACCTTTACATTGATCATCTCGACTTGAACATTTTAGTTATGAAAAAAAATAGGATTTCAAGCTCTAAAAGGAATGTATATTGTAACAAATTATCTAGACCGCCCCGTTCACCCTAAAAATAAAAGTTCATAGATCAGCAAGATCTGTACCATTTTTTAGTTTTAAATTTTATTGTCAATGATAGAAATTGATTTTAAAGCCATCATGCAGATTTCCGTTGCCGAAAGTGCTTTCTAGACAAGGATTTGAGGGGAAACTTTATTTTGTTTTCTTAAAGCCTAGGCCTTATAGAAACTTCTTCCTATATATATATATAAAGTTTATATAAGAATGAGGCCCTAAACAATCAATTAAGGAGCACTTTAAAAATTCACTAGATTCACTAGAAGAGGTTGTTTCAGTGCCCAAAATCCCTCAAATTGATCATCTCAACCACAAGATGATGGACATGAAAAAGAAATATATTTCATGTTTTGAAAATATTACATCTTGTAATGCATTTTTTAGGCCATCAGTTTTCAAGATTTTGAAGTTTTTGTAGATCTCAATCCACACTAATTTTGAAGCTTTAAATTTTATAATTAGAGACTAAAGTAAATTTTCACACCGTTACAAAAATTTCCAGTACTTAAATTTCATCTTTCAACATTATTTGACAAAAAATTCCAATACTGAAATTTCATCTTTCAACATTATTTGAAGGTGCACATTACTTTGATTGTTTAGAGCCTCAACCTTATACAAACCGTATATACTGTCATAATTGGCGATCCTCAAAACCAATCTTAAATCTTACTCTTGGAATGGGGGTGTGAGCGCTTATCTCTTCCTGGCTCCAGCACAAAAAGTAGAAGTATAACTTCTGCAACTTTCCTCTAGGCATCGGCTTGAGCTTGAGCGGTTAACAATTAACATCAAGATACATCTCAAGTTTGATTCTTGCTACCCAAAAGAAAAAAAATAAAAAAAAATCAATAATAATTTCCTTGCTCCTCTTCGTCCCGTTTCAAACAGGAAAGAATAGGAGCAAAGAAAGTGAGTGCATCAAATCAAACACTAACTAAAGTCTTTAATGCACCGAGGAATTTGCAAGAATCCTCCTCGGTTTGGAACACTTAAAAAGTTCAGTCTAGAAGCACCAAACTCGACCTAGTTCTTGCATGTATCACTTAGATTGAATTTTTATACGAATGTAAAAATTTTACATGCTTGGGAACAAGGTCAATATTACAGAGTATAACTCCTATAATTTAATGTCCGTTGGAACCAATTCAAAACTTATTATGTTACATTGGACAAATGTGAAGCAAAACATTGTACAAAAATTAAAAAAATTTCTCTCATTTTCTCCTAATTGAAAAGGAAAGAATTATCAAAATTGTCTCAAGGGAAAATCTTCAGTCCATTGGCTTATTTCGCATCAATTTCCTTTTGCCAGCATCCAAATATCTCTTCCTTAAACGCACTACTTTAGGTGTAACCTGCAACACCCACAAAGGTACTTGATTATGGTACCACTGCAGATGAAAGCAAAACTGCAAGAATAAAAGATCAAAATATTCCTTACCTCGATAAGTTCATCTGCTGCAACATACCCGATTGCCTCTTCGAGAGTCATCTGCATAGCCCATTATATGTTAGCTAGTAAACCTTAATCTTGAATGATTATCAAATAAAACAAAGAAATGACATGTTTCATCCCTAAAGTTACAGCTAAAACATCTGCCACATTAAAGAGAAGATGGTAGATAAAAATTGTGAAATGATGAGGGCAAGATGTGAGGGCCATCGATGAAGATAACACATACCAGACGAGGGGGGGATAACTGCACATTTTCATCCTTCCCAGCAGCACGTACATTGGTCAACTCCTTTGCACGCACAGGATTAACCTGTATAAGACCATAAAGAGTACAAGGTTAATTATTATTGAAGCTGACGAGATTTCACAGACATAAATCAAGTCAGGGTAAACATATGGCCAGAATCTCACATCCAGATCAGTGTCACGAGAGTGTTCACCAATAATCATTCCATCATACGTCTGCAAGACCCAAGCCATACATACAAAATGGTTACAAGCATGAAAACATAAAGCAAGCCATATAGAATCCATTTACATTACTGAGAATATGACGAAATGGTACACAACGGGAAATATCAGGCAGTGGTATGACCACCTGTATGGATTGTGCACGGGGTCTAACAACTTTGAATATCAGGTTAGCATTTTGAACCGTTTGAACTTTTTAGATGATTTCCCCTCAAAACATTTACAAGAATGAAGCCTTGACACTAGCCCAACCCTAATCCCTACAGGTCTGTCCTGACAAGGCACTAGCCCAATCAGGACCAGGCTGTGCCGGACCAGGCCAAATACAATCGAGAAAATAAAAGGTAAAGTAAAGGATCAGGCTATGCTGAATTGTTCCGGCCCTGTCATAGTCTACTATTATCGTCCGGCTCGGCCCTTAGGCCACATCTTGTGGCCAGACCCTTGTTTTTTAGGGCCTGTCTGGGTCGGGCCACTTACTCCATTGCCAAGCCTACCTGCATTATTCGTGAGAGTGTCCTCTGACATATCCCCAAAAATATCCCTAGTCCGATGCAAGAGATAGAAAACCAACCTCCATGCCTGGAGAAACAAACATAACTCCTCTTGCTTCTAAACTCATTAGTGCATAAGCAGTGATGGTTCCATTCCCCACTGATACCTAGTCATCCAAACCCAATAGAAATCTGTAGTCAATAAAATGAACAAGGCATGGCATGAGTATGGCATAATTCATATACATGAATATTAATTAGTTGAAAACAACCATCAAACTACTGATAGACAACTAGCTCATAAAATGCTGACAGTGTGCCAAAGCAGTGAGTTATTTAGCTCTGCTCATTATCATCATCATCATCAAAGCCTTTTCCCAATTAATTGGGGTTGGGTGGTTATTTAGCTCTACTCTACCAAAAATATAGACAATATAAGAACCTACAGAGACCTATAAAGTGAATAAGAAAGACTTACCAATACACCTTTCCTAACATTTCCAAGAGGTCCACGATGTTTTGAATGGGCTGTAGCCACATGACCAAAAACGTTAGTCAGCAAACATCCGTAAGGTGCAATCTCAATAATGTATCACTAAAATTGCGTCATTGGAATATGTTAGAAAACTTAAAAACATGTCAACATAATATGATCAGGAGATCTTCCATGTTCCCAAAATCTAACATGCAGATTTCACTAAATTAGAGATTCATTTTCAAGCAGTTTGTCAATGATACTTCGAAATAAACTTGTTAACCTAAAGTTTGATGATATTTAATCTTACAACTTAAAACTACATTAAAGGCCCTGGGGAAATTATCATGATCAAGTGCTAACATATGCGACAAGGACACAGAGATGAGAATCCATGTCAAACTTCGATTCGAACACTCCGAATCACCAATCCATATTTTGCGTAATCTAGTCTGATACACCCATACAAGTCTATATAATGCATACATGTCTATAAATTTTCATATAAAATTAATTTGTGACTTTCAATGATAAAATTAACTTAAAAAATTAAACATGTAGGATTACGATATCGGAAGTGAAAGAAGCTTTAATAATGAAGAAAATAGGAAAGGCTTTAGAACCAGATGGTATCCCGATGGAGGTTTAGAAGTGCATGAGGAAGATTGGCTGCCCAAGTTGTTCAACAAGGTGTTCAGAACAAAGAAAATGGCAGACGAACGAAGGAAAAATATTATAATACCTATTTACAAGAACAAAGGAGACATACAAAATTGTGCGTACTATCGAGGGATCAAACTTATGAGCCACACTATGAAGCTTTAAGAGTGAGTGATTGAGCAACAACTAAGGCATGAAACGAGTGTATCAAAAAGCCAATTCGGTTTTATGCCAGAGAAGTCAACAACTGAGACTACTTTCCTATTTAGGCAACTGATTGAGAAATTTAGGGCGAAAGAAAAAGACCTTTGCATGGTCTCTAGAAAAAAGCTTATGATAGAGTGTCTCGATATTTGATTTGGTGGGTGCTAAAGAAGAAAGGAGTCTCCAAACACTACATCGACATGGTAAGAGATATGTCCGATGAAGTGTTAACTAGTGTACGAACCACTAGTGGAGACACGAGTGAGTTTTCAGTGGCAATAGGTCTATATTAGGGGTCAGCATTGAGCTCATACCAGTGTTCGAAAATTCGCTCGCATGCCTGCTTAGGCGGAAATTTTTTAAAAAAGATTAGGCATGTGCTAGGTGGGGTCAGTATGCTTTTTGCGTCTGGGCGCCCTCCTAGCGAAGCAAGGCGGCTACAGTCTGAGCACCCACCTAGGCGCCACCTCATGACAAGTTGAGAAAATGCGAAAAATGGGTCTCGCTGAGTGTTAAAAAAAGTCAATTTCCCCCCTTAAAAAGGGAGAAAAAGGGTTTTGGGGGGTATTTTAAATCCCCAAACCATAACCGAGGCTTTTAGGATGAGAAAAACTCCCCAAAACCCAATCTTTTGAGATTTATTAAAAGATCGATAACTATTGGATCTTTTCGATTTCTTCTCAAAACAAAGGCAATAGTTTGTGGGTGGATTTGAAGCTTCTAGTAGTTGATTTTAAGGACTTTTGGCGACCCAATAGACGAGGTTTGCACTGGCATCGATTTGATTATGCTATTTTAATGTATTATCATATTTGAAAGAGGGTTTTGATTTGAGTTTACTACAATATATTATGTTGTGAATCATATGTTTTTTCTTTTAACAATATATTTACATGTTTGTAGTTAAAAGATTACATTTGTTGTGATTAATTGAATTTTTATTCACTTGGACGATGAAATTGAGCATATATCTCTTTTATGAATAGTTGATTCCCTTTTTGTACAATGTGTCATGTGTTGATATTATATTATTTTTGCTTTACTTTATTTGATAAATAATTGATTATGTGATAGCTTAATGAGTTAAGTCTTATGTGAAAGTGAAATTTAGATCTTATATACTCATTTAAATCTTATTGTAATTTGTGAAGTAATAGTAAATGACTTAATTCTTTAATTTTATGTTTTTGGGGCTCTAAAATTGCCCTAAAAACTCCCCAAGGCTTAAAACCATGCCCTAAGAACTCCCCTATTTTTTGTTTGGGGGAGGGGTTTCAATTTTGGAGAGGGCACCCTGTCCCTAAGCAGCCAGGCACCCAAAACGGCTAGGCGGTCGAAGCCACATTTTTGAGCACTGGCTCATACCTCTTTGTCTTAGTTATGGACGACTCAACTAGGCACCTACAAGATAAAGTACCGTGGTGCATGTTGTTTGCAAATGACATCGTTTTGATTGATGAGACCCGAAACAGCTTCAACACAAAGTTAGAACTCTAAAGAAACGCTCTATAATTTAAAGGTCTTAAAATTAGCTGGACTAAGATAAAGTATGCGACAAGTTTTGTAATAATAGGAGTAGAGACGAGAAAGTAGTTAAGAGCAGTGTTCGCCAAATAGAACCGGAACGGTTAACCAGACATGGGGCCGGAGGTGGTTAGAACCGGAACCGGGCGATTAACTGGACAGGTTTGGTCTCATAGAATTTTTTTTTAATGGGTCAAAAACCTCAAAAAAAATAATAATAAAATAGAAAAACATAGATTAACTGTATACTATCTTATTACCTACATTTATCTTAAAAAATATAAAAATAAAAATTGAAACAAATTTTTATATAAATTAATATATGAATACTATGGAGATATGCAAGACAATTTATATATTGAAGTAACGACTCTAATTGGGTACTCGAAGTATTGTAGCAGCAAAAAAATTGTTAAAAAAATGACATCTTTCTTATTCAATATGAGTTTAAATGCCAACATTAGGCTCCTTGTTATCCAATTTAAATTTAAATCAGCTATCAGGCTCCTAAGTTGTTTTTTGAGAAAATGAACAAAATTGAAATGATCTCCAATCAATGAGGACGGTTACATCTCCGTTCCTCTTGTTTATGAATTGCAGCCAAGGACAAACTGAGATTCCTCATCAACTGGTTTGAAAAGTTTCTGGCTTATAGAGACTCTGACCTTTATTAAGAGCAATGTTGTCATATTCGCTTCAGAGTCTTCTTAGGTTTGGTGAGAAAAATGAAGCAATTCGGTGCTTCGGCCAATTCAAGGGAAAACTTCAGACTTTTTTTTAAAAAAAATAATATATAAATTAGATATTATATATAGTATATAAAATAATGAAAATATTAAAAATAAAATAAAAAAATACTTTTATATAGGTATTTCTTTTTTGATCGAAGCAACCCCGAACAACATTGATCAAGAGGGGTGAGCTAGGTATTAAACCAGTTCCGCATTACCAAAGTCAACTATTAATAATATACTAAAATCAATCAAAACTAACAAGTAGTATTCCAAACCAATTCTAAAATGGGAAAATATCTTCATACCCTTTATTTTTAAGTTTCATTTCACAATAGACCCAAGGTTTTAAAATATATCTTAGGGCATAAAAATTGTAGATATTATTTCTTCTAACCCCCTGAGCTAATTTAAACCTGTTTTTTTAGGCCAAACAAATATAAAAGACATGCCTTTTCTAAAAGTCATCCTCTCAAACTTCTAGAGAGAGAGAGAGAGAGAGAGAGAGAGAGAGAGAGATAGAGAGAGAGAAGGGCTTCATGGATGTGAGAGGTTATTGGGAGAGAGAGACAGAGAGGTGTTTGGATAAACAAGGGAGCAGAGAGAGAGTGCGAGACAAGGGAGAGAGAAAAAGAGAGAAGTTTGGGGTATATAAGTGAAGAGAGAGAAATGACTGGGTTTAAAAAGAGTATGTCTTCCTCACATTTGTTTAGGTTACAAAATAGATTGAAAGTGGGTAGGGGGTTGGAAGATATCTTTTGAAACCTTGGGTTTATCAAGAAATGAAACCTAAAATTAGAAGATATGGAGATATTTTCCCTTTTTAAATCCCATTGCGTAGAGTATAATTTTGGCAATTTCAACCAATTTAACTCGTGATATTCTCAGTAAACCTCTGAAACTGAAAAAGAGATTTTACATAAACAGGACATTATAGACCACAGCTTGCAGCTCTTTTGGTGGATTGCAACAAACAACCCAACATAAAGATGAACTTAAGTCAGAGACAGAAAGAGAAAGTGGAGAGAGAGAGAGAGAGAGAGAGAGACAGGGAGAGAAAAATACTAGAATCAGAAAGCTTGCAGCCTACATGTCAAAAAAGTTGAATTTTGAAACAAAATCACACATGGAGGAGAAAACCACATATAAAGGGGAAAATACTAGAATCAGAATCTGACTCAAGAAAAACAGAATATCCCATTAAAATTCACATTGATCATAAGAAATAAACTCAATAAAACTTGAAATCATTGGTAAATCAAATAGAGTTCAGATGAAGAAACAAAGCCAACTGATTTTCCTAAAGAAAATAACAGAAATGGAGGAATTGTAAGTAATCTGGACAATTCCAAATTCTAATTTTTTTTTTTTTCAAAAAAAAAAAAAAAAAAGAAAGAAGAAGAGGGAAATTCAAACAAAAAAGCCGAAATCCAAACCAAAAACCCAAAAAACTAAACAAAGATCCAAGTAGAAACAAAAGAACCAAACCTAAACCCCAAAACTGCCACAAACCATAATCATAAAATTCAAAAAAATAAGTATTAATTCAGGTTGAACCTTACCCTCTTTTTTTTCAACTCAGAGGAAGGCCTATTCTATACAAATCAAGCCCCAAATCTCTGATTTTTGATGAAATTAGGAGTTCAATCGTCTGATTATCCCTATCATCTACAAAAGCCCCCCATTTTGATTGAGAAAAAATAAAAAACAACACCACAGTCTGTAGTTTGGCGGGTTTTTTTGGAATGGATGAGTGGCAAGGCAAGAAGGGATAACATTTGAAATGAATACATTAGGGAAAATTTACGTGTGTAGCACTAAAAGGCGATAAGATGAGAGAGAGTAGACTTACATGGGCTGGCCATGTGTGATTAGCTCAAGTGGAAGGCTCAAAAAGAGTAAAGGGCAGGCCCAAAGGACATAGTTGGAAGTAGTGAAAAAAAAGATGAGGACCTATAGCCTCACTGAGGTCATGGCCCTTAATAGAGCAAAATGACAAACCAGAATTCGTGTAGCCAACCCCAATTACTTGTGAAAAGGCGTTGATGATGATAATGATTATGTACATCCAAGTCAAAATACACGTGTCAAAATCAGGAACACAAGCACCCAATAGTGTAAACACATGTCTCTCACAACATAGACAAGTCTTACAATGCTGACCTGCATGTCTTACAAAATGGAAACATGACCCTTATTTGTCCAATTTGTGGATTCGCAAATGCACTGGGCTTGTGAATCTTTATTTAAAAAAAAGAAAAGAAAAAAGAAATCCATACATATATATCTATACAAATTCCCCATGTCCGTATGTGTCAAAACACATGCCTCATGCACTGGAACGTTGAATTCTCCTAAACGCGCGTGATACGCATGTCCTTCTTACATATGTTGCAACACACATATACACACATGCTTATAACTTCAAGTGATTTCACACTTCATGAGCAAGCAGCAAATCACAAATTGTGAGCTCACTATTTTTTTTTTGTGTGTGTTTTTTCCATTTGCATTTCTTCCATTCCCTGAAGGGTGTCTTCATCAATAGACATGTGCACAAACACATATGAACGGACATGCGCTTACATAAGCATGCATCCACAGACACATAAAAAATGAATGCTTAAATGTAACACCTTTCCTCACATATACACCAAATAATTAGCTAATTCAGTATCTTGCATCCAAATGAAGTCATCACAAGTATCTTAATGACATGATTGAAGAGAGATAATCCATCATAAAGGTTTTACTATCATATATACCTTCATATGAATATGGCACAGAAATCAAGAATCAAATGGAAGCACAAGAATTCATACTCAGAAAAGCACGATGCATGAATCCAGTGCCGTGTGTATCACTGCTGAAAACACTTCTATAGCCAACCAGCCCTCTGCACAATCAAACCAAAAAATAGTCAATTCCGGTTTCGTCTTGAAGACAAGGCAATAAGGCTATCATTTAGTGGCACAAAAAGTATTGAAATTTTCTCCACAAAGATTGAATGCCATTTCCTCTTTAGAACCTACCATAGCAGAAATTGACAACTTAGTGGGAATATCAAATTTTATGCCATGCCAAGAAGTCAAGAAAAGTTCAATGGATGCATAAAGTGCCATAAATAGCAGTAAGAGTTTCATTGTAGTCCAAGAATTACTGTAAATGAACAAAAGGCAAACATGTAACCATATCTCATATATATTCTGCTGTAACTGTAGTGGACTGTGACTCGGCACATTTCATTCTCTATAATTTCTTACCGTTATCTACACCGTAAAACCCTAAAGTATCATATCTATCAAGGCTTTACACGGCATCAGAATGGTGATCAATCTCATAGAAGCGGCTCATCCTTACCACAAGAGTACTTTTCCAGTATGACCTAGGCCTGGTGTCATCACACAAGGCCAACATAATCTGTATGGAGAGTGTCAGACCCACAAATCTCTTGAGGATTGTTACTTGGCTTGTCAAGCTGAGAATGTTGATACTCATATTGAGGGGTTCTGGGAACAATTTGAAGCTTTTCAGTTAGATCGAGGCTTTTTCCAAGAGTATGTTCAATGTCCCTAGATAAAGCCTCAACAACCCAGATACAAGGGCATCATCTAGAGTGGATTTGATTGAGAAACTCAAATCTCAGTTGAGATAAAACAAGCCATTTGTAGCAGATCTTGCTCTTTTGACATATGTTAGTTGGACATTCAATATCCCAACCAAAAAAGATGACATCGAGATCCCTTTCTCTTGAGCCATCCTAGCCTGATCCATCTTTCTAAGGAATTATCTATGCATTTAGCTCACTAAAACGTGGTCCTATGGATCATTATTTCTTAGAGAACCTGTTTTCTGATTTTTCTCTACATCTTGCATTTGTTTGGCTTTTTCATTAACTCAAAATTCAATCAACTTCATTACCATCTCGATCTACAGAAGATTCCATTACCTAAACGAAGGGCCCCAAAACTCTTGCTACCTTTCGGTTTAAGATTGTGCAACTTTATAAGTCGTACATTGAATGGAGCAATTATGTGCCATGTGTCAATAAGCCCGAATTGTTCTTGCTTGGAAGACGTGCGGGCATATTTGTCATCTTCAAAATCACCTAGCTCAACAGACCTAGGATCCATTGATTATATTATAATGGTGTAGCTTTTGAATTCGGTGGAGTCAGATATCAAGGATGGACTCATTTTTCGTGGTACATAAAAAGCAATCTGGGATGCTGTAGAAGATAAATTTTCTCATCAGGATATAAGTGATAAGAGTGTAATAGAGTTGGCCCATTGCAAGAAGGATGAATGTATAGTGACTGCATGTTATGGTTCTTTGCGTGGTATGTAGGAGTTGAGTCACTATGATATAACTGGTTAATGAGCTTGAATAACATGTTGCCTGGGTGACACATAACCTAATACGAAAATATTAAGATTAAAAAATAAATTATAATCACAATCAGAAAATTTAAGCATTACAAGAAACTAGAGGAATTCAACACAAAAGAAGTCTCACAAGGTTCAAACTATCTTACATAGAAGAAATCAATAATCATCATCATCGTCAAAGCCTTTTTCCAACTAATTCGGGTCGTCAAAGCCTTTTCCCAACTAATTCGGGTCGGCTACACGAATCCTGATCCGTCATTCTGCTCTATTAAGGGTCATACCCTTTGTGAGGCCATAAGTCCCCATATATTTTCTTACTACTTGTAACCATGTCCTTTTAGGCGGCTCACCCATTTCAGCCTTCCACTTGAACTAACTCGTACCTCCTAACAGGTGTTGTACTAGGCCTGTGCCACACATGACCAGCTCATCTAAGTCTACTCTATCTCATCTTATCGCCAATTGGTGTCATACCTAAATTTTTCTAAATGTTTCATTTCGAGTTCTATCCTTCTTGTCTTGCCACTCATCCATCTCAACATCCTCATCTCCGCTACACTCATTCTATGGGTATATTGTTTTTTGACAGCCCAATATTCCAGGTCATAGAGCAAAGCTGATCTCAATTGTCCTATAGAACTTGTCCTTCTGCTTTATTGGTATGTGGCGATCAGATAGAATCTCGGTAGCACATCTTCACTTCGCCCACCCAGCTCTAATTCTATGTGCGACATCTTCCTCAATCTCTACATTTTCCTGGATTATAGACCCAAGATATCGAAAGTTTATTCTTTTTTGGTATTTTCTGGTGGTCAATCTTAACTACTTCCTCGTACCAAATCCTATTATTACTAGGCTTGCATTCCATATACTTTGTCTTAGCTCGATTAGTTGTAAAACCTTTAGATTCTAGAGTATTCCTCCAAAGTTCTAAATTTATATTGTTGTCGTTTCGGGTCTCGTCGATCAAAACTATGTCATCTGCAAAACAACATGCACCACAGTACCCCATCTTGTTGGTACCTAGCTAAGTCGTCCATAACTAAGACAAAGAGGTATGGGCTCAATGTTGACCCTAATGTAGATCTATTGTTACTGAAAACTCACTAGTCTCTCCACTAGTTGTTCGTACTAGAGCGGCCAATGGTCCGGGAGGGGAGGGCCGCCTCGAGCTCCAGGCCGGGCCTAAACTTCGAGCCATTTTTAGGCTCATTTCAGGGCAAATGCGTGCTTTAGGCCGGGGCTCAAGCCATGAAAGGGCAACTTTTTTCCAAGCAGGGCAGGGCTTTTAACGGGCGAGGCCGAAAAGCCTGGAACCCTCCTTAACCCTCCCCCACTTTTCTCTCGCTCCTCTTGCCGGAAGTCCTCTCTCTCTCTCTCTCTCTCTCTCTCTCTCTCTCTCTTCGTCGTACGTACGTACGTCGTCGTCGTCTTTGTACTCTCTCTCCTGCATCTCTCTCTCTCTCTCTCTCTCCCATCTGCCATTTCTTACTGCATGTCTTCCATACGCATTTGCTTGGCCCCACCATTTTATGGAATGATGTCCCAAATATGTAAAACCACAAGAAATAGAAAAGGAGAGGGAAAGAGAGTGGGAGATTGCAGACAGAGGAGAAACGAGGAGAGAAGGTGGTGAGAGAGAGAAGGAACAGAGGAGCAGGATACGAAAAGAGGTTGTAGAGAGAGACAGGACCATTTGTGACAAAATGAAGAAACCATTTTCACATCAATGGTGGGCTTCCTCTGCAATGGTGGAGAAAAAAACTAGAGAGAGAAAATGTTTTCTGGACAGAGATATAAAAAAGTTCAAGAAAATGGGTATTTTAAAGAGAGAATGGGTTCTTAGACAGAGAAAGAGAGGAGGCAATGGAATGAGAAACCTTGTTTTTAAAGATAGAAAATGAATGGATTTTTAGAGAGAGAGGGGGAAGGTGGGGGTGGGGAATGAGGTGGGTAAGCGCCACGTGTTCCCACCCCTCTTCCTAATACTTTTCACTTCCCAATGTTAGTTTAGGCTTTTAAATTTCTCAAAAAATATTTTAGTATAATTGCTTTATAGAATTTTTTTTTTTCTTGGCTTACAAACAACAATGTTTGAAGAGAGATTTAAAAAAATAAAATAAAATAAGCTTTTAATTGGGCTGGGCGGGGCTTATATTTGGGCTAGCCAAAAACACACTTCCAGGCTGGGTGCGAGGCAGCCATGCCAGGCTTTAATAAATATATTTCAAGCCGAGCCGATCAATCATAGTTCCGGGCCGGACCAAATTTTTTCAGATTTTTACTGAGCCAGGGCCAAGCCGGTCCGAACCCGACCAAGTGGAAACCCTAGTTCATACACTAGTTAGTGCTCCATTGTACATATCTCTCACCAAGCCGATGGAGTGCCTGGATACTCCTTTCTTTTCCAACACCTACCAAATCAAATCTTAAGGTACTCTATCTTAAGCTTTCTCTAGATCAATAAAGACCATGTAGAGGTCCTTTCCCCTCACCCTAAACTTCTCAATCAGTTGCCTAAGTAGGAACATAGCCTCGGTTGTTGACCTCACTGGCATAAAACCAAATTGGTTTTATGACACACTCATTTAATGCCTTAGTCGTTGCTCAATCATTCTCTCCCAGAGCTTCATAGTATAGTAGGATACTACTATTATAGGTATACATAATACAATACTGCAATACATTAGTACTATAGCAAATTAGTAATACATTATAGTGCTATAACATTGTTATATGCATAGTAGCATAATAGTAAAACTATTAATTAGTACTATTATTTTACTATAATATAGTATAATTATATAAAGAGAGAGAGAGACAGAGACAGAGAGAGAGAGAAAGAGCAAGGGGTAGATGATGGGTCTCTGCACTCTCACTCTCCCTCGCTTTCCACTATCTTTTTATAAAACACACACACTACCCCCAACCAACCCACCACCCCTTCCCCTTAGTTTTTCTTTTTAGGGTGCCTCAGTCAATAGGCACCTGCCTAGGCAGGCAAGGCACCGTCTAGGCACACGCCTCCTCCTTTTTTTAACATTGATCAGAGGTTATAAGAGCTCTATGATATCAACCCCATTGCTGTGAGAGTTATGGATCATTTCAGTGAGCGGTTGGCTGGTGCCGGGGATGATATAATATTTCTGAGCAGCCACTAGATATAAATCTTCAACAAAGAGCATGAGGACAATAAGGGAGGAGGATAAGAAGAAAACTGACACAGAAGATAAAGGAAGAAGAGAAATATGTTGAGAAGGGGGACGACTTTGCTGATGATGGCTTGGAATAAGCAGATTCAATTCAGACGTTAGTTGGTGAGGAAGATGGAGATGGTGGTGGACCCAGTGGTGGTGGTGATGATGATTAAACTCAATTTGCAATTTGAATAATGAGATTTGTTTTCTTGTTTTGCTGTTTTAAGTCCACTGACTTCTGTTACTTTCTGGAATATGATGGTCGAGGGCGATGGTATGGATTAACTATGGCATGTAATGACAGATTGATA